CTCTCTCTCTCTTTCTCTCTCTCTCTCTCTCTCTCTCTCTCTCTTTCTCTCTCCTCTCTCTCTCTCTCTTTCTCTCTCTCTCTCTCTCTCTCTCTCTCTCTCTCTCTCTCTCTTTCTCTCTCTCTCTCTCTCTCTCTCTCTCTCTCTCTCTCTCTCTCTCTCTCTCTCTCTCTCTCTCTCTCTCTCTCTCTCTCTATATATATTTATTTATTTACGCGTTCACGCGTGCACAGGTAACAAACCGGCGGGATCTCTTCGACTTTCCTCAGAACGGCAGCTTTGCAGCTACGATCGTTTATCTGAACAGGTGAGAATTCATATAAAAATGAGTGAATGAGGGAATCTATGAGGATGTGAAGGGTGAATGTATGAGGGAATCTCTTCCTGCATGTGAGTTATAACCCATCGTACTCAAACAAATATTATAACCACAGTCGAATCGTTTGCCACGATTGCCACGATGCCACAATTGCCACAATTGCCACGAACCACGATTGCCACAATGTCGGTCTACATTTGAATCTATGGTATATTATAACCGCCAACGCAATGTCGGCTGAGCGATGACGTCCATGTTGCGGACGTTGCCCGTGTGTGTCGCTACTCACAGGCGTCGTCGTTGCCGTGTCGCCCGTGTGTGTGTCATTATTCACTGTCGCTGCCGACAGATTCGGACAGTCTCTGCGAGCGACGAAGCAGCTGGACGTCTCCTACACGCCGACTGTCATCAACGCTTACCTGCGCACGGAGAATCTGACGACGCACAACGGCTACCTGAGCACATACCTCAACGAGGAGCTGTGGATGAATACGGAGCTAATGGTCGCAGAGGGCGCTGCTCGCGTCCTGCTCGAGTTCGTCGTGCCGCACAACGCCTACACCTACCAGACGTGCTCCGGAGGTGGCGCCCCCGGAGGCGGGACGCCGCACTGCAACAAGATAGGATTCGTCTCGCTACAGGTGCGTGAGTAGATTAATATAGGTAGACATGTATCTTGGTGTGTGGGGAGGGGGTGGGTGATAACAGGGTGATATTCTTCGTGTTGCATAATCTTTGAGGTGAACCTCAATCCCGTTATGTTTAACTAGTTTGAGAGAAAATTGAAATATTAATTGATAACGTAAAGCTTTGGGGAAACGAAAAATGGCCGTGATTTTTTCGGGAGTGGGGATGGGGGGGGATATTAATAAGCATACACGCCACGATTAGACAAAAGCAACGCTATATATAGGGTTATACTTGATGACCAACTTCTACCTGCTGCTTTCTCAACTCAACTCTCTTTCTTAACATCATTGCTGCATAAGCATGCCTCAGCTCTACTCTCACGTTTTAACACGTAAGTATAAATTCCCTGCCGCGCAAATACGACACGACGAAAGATTTCGGTATTCATACGTTGTTGGTACACAGGTGGACCCGCCAGACAGAAACACGATCACCGTCATCGTCGGCGACAGTCTTACCTCCGATAACTTCCTCGCACCGAACGTCACATTCAGTGCCAATCTAGAGCGAGTGTTCTTCGACTTTGGCATCGTGCGAAATGTGGAGGACGGCGTGCTGAACGCTGCCGATACGATTCTCATCAAGATACCGATCCTGATCAGACAGGTAGGTCCTGCCCTTGAAATGTTATTCATTATCATAGAGGGTAGGGCATGATCGCTGCGTGGTGGCAGCCAAGAGGGTTTCTTACCAGACATGTGATGCTTAGACAGGCGATACCTATAATGATAAATATTTTTCTTGAAACATTATATAGTACTTGTTTGTACAGGTACATTAGTCTTTAAGCTAGTAGAATAGACATGTGCGTATTACGGACGTATATGTCTGCCATGTTCAACTTCCCGTGGCTTACTCAGATGGTGCAACGTGTACCAAAATGTAATACACCACTTAAACGTTAAACCTGGCAAAGACCGCGGCTACAGTTATATATTCATGCAAAAATGAGAATACACTGCAAACACCCTGACAATTCTATCGTTTATAATAGTATATGATATATAGTTAGAGTAGATAGCATATAGTATATGGTATATATACGGCGTATGGTACAGATTTGGTATATGGTATGTAATATGTGGTATAAATTGTGCATGTGGTGTGTGGTATGCGGTATGTGGTATATGGTATATAGTATATTATCGTATATAGTATATAGTATATAATATATAGTAAATAGGTCGAACTGGTTACATACGCCTACAGCAACATCGTCACTCTTTATATCACTTATTATATATATATATTTATTTATTTATATATTTATTTATTCTTATATCACGTATTATATATATATATATTATGATCGTGCTGCAGGGTTATAACCGCGTCGGTCAAGTGCTGCCTTTCCGCTCCATCGCTAACCAGACGCTGCTGCCACTACCTACGTCCGTCATCGCCGACCTCACCTTGCTCGTCATCGGACCCGACCTGAGCATCTACACGCAGGCGCAGCCGCTTAGCGACATCGAGGCGGGCACGGTCGTCAACTTCACGACAACTTTCTTCCATTCGACGGCCTCTACCGAGAACATCGTGCAACTCCAGGTGAGAGCTGTGCTGGTGAAGGAGGATGGAGTTGGCTTCAGGGTAGACGGAGGGTGGAGCTTTACTTTAGGGTATCTAGATCGACTTCTTCTGGATGGAAAAGTCGTAACAAGAGTTGGTTCCATGGTGAAGGTCGGCGCTGGTTCCATGGTGAAGGTCGGAGTTGGCTCTATGGCGAAGGTCGGAGTTGGTTCCATGGTGAAGGTCCGAGCTCGTTCCATGGGGAAGGTCGGAGTTAGTTCCAAGGTTGACGGAGAGAGGAGTTTTAGTTTAGGAGCTCTGGATCGACTTCTTGTAGATGAAAGAGTGATCTCAAAAGTGGAGTGATACTCAGATAGAGACTCGATACAGAAAAATGTAGATGATGTGGATTGCAAGGTATGGACATATGACGGAGAGGTGCAATGGCTAAACGTGGGAAGGCATTGAATTTATAGAAAAGCTTTTATATTTAAAGGGGACACCGATAGAGTTAAGAGACCAGGTTAGAGGGTATTGCTGGAATGGTGGGAAATGAAATAATGTGTGGTGGTGCGAGCTTTCGGTTAGACTCTCCAGATGTGAACGCGAGAATGAAGACCGGTAACTTATTGAGAGCGGCTATAATATTAATATTCACGTCAACATCTCTGTACAAAATAGTAATAGTTGGATTTATTACTTATGGGTTGTAGTGCATGTCGAAAATAATACGCGCTCGTGTTATCCGTCAACAGGTTTGGGCGAAAACGCAAGACGCTGGTATGCGCATGCTACCCGAAGTCATCTACTTCTTCTCTGGAAGCCAAGACATGCCTTACAGAGTGACCGCTGCTGAACTAGAGAGCGGTATCAAAATAGGCTTCCTGAACCAGACCGACTGGATGCGGCTGTTGTTTCAGGTAAGGACATCTTCGTCTTACATCAACGCCACGCTTCTGTCTGTATCTTTTCCGCGAAAACTCGCGTCAAAAACGTATATGAAACCAATTTGATAACGTAAATACAACGTAGAGAAATTGCAATTCATTGCAACTCTTGAGATAACCGCAGCTGGTTTTTCATCAAGCCATCATCCATTCTACTGGCGTTTCTTTTGCTATTTACTTGCATGCTCAGCGATGATGAACCTTTGATGCGTGCTTGCACTATATTGTCCTAGCGCGAGGCGCACTAATCAAAAGACAGGTATACACAGGGGTATATATAGCGCCCGCGTCACACGCGAGACAGCTTGCTACTTTTCACATCTAGTGCCAGGTACTCACGTACCACGCGGTATGCGACGTTTGAAAATAGATATAAATTAGCAATGTTGTCGGTGTCTTCCATGGCAGGTGCGTGCCACGAATTCCCTGCTCATTAATTCCCATCCCGCCGTGCGGATCGATGCTAGCTTCAGCGGTGAACGGGAGAGGAAGATATGTAAGTCAATCCGTTATTTAAATAATTTTACATGCTGCATCGTACGCAATTGTTGTTCGCAGGTCGTCGATAGCTGTAATGGAGATTTTATAGTTCTTTATATATAATGAAGAAATATATAACCCTATTGCATCAGCATGAGCAGCAGCAGCAGCAGCAGCAGCAGCAGCAGTAGTAGTAGTAGTAGTAGTAGTAGTAGTAGTAGTAGTAGTAGTAGTAGTAGTAGTAGTAGTAGTAGTAGTAGTAGTAGTAGTAGTAGTAATATCAAATTAGAAAGCGAAACCTTTCACGTAAAAACATATAGATAATCAATCATCCGACACACTGGCGCCACACAACTAATCCACTCCATCAAAAACACGAAGTTCAAAGACGTTTCACGACGACATCCGCTAATAAATTCCGTGTCTTAGGCGACCTACACGAAAATCCAAACGAGCACCTCGTATCTATTAAGGTAGCGACGGGTGAGTTTAGCCGGTGGTAATGATACGTCGGCCTGAACCACCTGCCGCTTAGTAAGAGCTATTATAAGAGCACGCACACGCGAGGCTGCGATGCGGGGCTGCATCGACCCACGCGGCTCTAACCGAATCAGGAAATTGGCTGCGTGTTTCACTATGTAATCGATGTAACGTAACTACTGCTGCCCTGCATGCTGCTAGTAAAAGCAAAAAGCATGCTGCGCTCTTAATCAAGCAAATCCAGCCATGCACATGTTCTTTACTATTTATTCAATAGAGTGCGGTCGTGTCTCATGTCATCAAACGTTGATAAGATTCGTCAGTCTTTTCCAGTTATTCAACGTGCTCACGCAGATACGAGCGCTTGTACGCACGCACACGATTTGTTAATATGCCCTTCTCTCTCTCGCGCTCTCTCTCTCTCTCTCTCTCTCTCTCTCTCTCTCTCTCTCTCTCTCTCTCTCTCTCTTTCTCTTTCTCTCTCCCTTTCTTGCACCCATTTTCGCTCTTAACTCGTCGTGCGTGTTTTCGTTGGCATGGTGTTCTTGTAAATCCTAAGCAAGCAAACGCGAACAGATTCTTTTCATGATGTGTTTGCGATACATACATACTGCCAGGCTGTGCATGGTACCTTGCTGAATCAGCTCTAAATTGATTAAACCTATGTAAGGCGCGAAATGTAAAGAGAAGCTGTTTGTGTAAGAAATTTTTTATAATATCACAACGTTCTATTATACAACGTTGCAAGCAGAATCTGCGTGTAACTGCATCCGGTTTTGTAATGTGTTCCTAGCCAGTATTTTCATCCTAATAATTTCAAGGTAACAATACTGTCTTCATGAACACGTGGTCAGTTTTATATAGTTATGCGGGGAAATATAACGTAAACAACACGCTATTAGCTACGTGCGTGACTACATGATCTTACACGCGACGAGCGTCACACACGCGCGCGCGCACACACACACGCGCGCGCACACACACACGCGCGCGCGCACGCACACACACACACGCGCGCGCACGCACACACACGCACGCACGCACGCACGCACGCACGCACGCACACACACACGCACACACACACACATTGACTGCACGCTCACGCGGGCACAACCGCGTGAATGCGCTAGCCTATGCGGGAACACACGCCTCCGACACAGATTGGTACCCTGCTGCGAGCACGCACGGTCGCACAAAAGATTCACAAGACCAAATGCTATCGATTTCCAAGGTGGCTTATTGTGGCTCCTGCTTTTCCTTTTAGCCTGTTTCGTACGGGTACCTAGCGTTATTTCTGCCCGCGCTTGACCGCGAGGTCTGCTTTTCTTCTAGCTAGGGGTTTACGGAACAACCCTCACGTCGTACCAGATTAGGACAATAAATAACACCCGACATACAACGAACGAACAGAACAGGAAATATCTTGACCAAAGCGTTCCGCACACTGAAAGCGTTACACGCTAACACACTAACTACACTACACTAAACTACACTACACTAACTAACACACGCACGCTAACACACTACACTACGAAATGAATACATAACGCCGTGACAAATGTACATAGACCGTCTGTAATAACTTAATCGCTGCTTTCGGATGAAAACGACTTCTCGTATGCAATCACCCAGTTCTTACATGCGAGCCGATGGTCGCTGAGTGCGAATGACTCTGTAGTCATGCAGATATCCCTGCACGCGGGTCGTGAATTTACCTGTCGCCCAATCATCGAAAACAGAATACTCGACGCGGAGTGGCCGCGGTTATTAATTGCTGACAGGTAATGGCAGTCGTCACCTGCGTGCGTCGCACGCGGTGACGAGAAAGTGCAATTTGTGCTCGCATTTGCAATCGCGAACACTTCACGTCAACGCAGCTCTCCCAGCGATATTACTTATTAATCAGAAACAAATCTATCACACGGGGCCATATAACGTATCATTAGTATCGCATGTCGCCGGGTAGGGGAGAGATGTCTGCGGGAGATGTAATTATACTGTAGAGTTCTACCCCCCCCCCGCCGCCACTGTCCTACTGCGCATGCGTGTGAGACCGACAGCTATTGATCATAGAATGCTCTAGCTGTGTGGGAGTTGCAAGGGCGCGTTTTCCCGTAAAAATCGTGCGAATATTTTGTAATTTAATTTTAAACAAAATTTCTTTAATAAAAGTTAACTAGAAAACCACGTACATACATAATAAACTACACGTGAACGTTATAGCTTTGAAATGAAAAGCATAAATTACAAGCAGGTCTAGGCTACCTGGAACAAACCCCTAACGTGATTTTTATATGATAGTAGTAAGCTCGTTTGATTCGCTGAAATGACAACTGCAACATATATGCATGACAAAAATGCAATACCTTTCGGACACTTCCGCCAGTTTTCCCATAGGCTCATGTCAGGGTCTTTGCTTTAATACCAAGTTTATACATTGGAAATTTTACTCTGGAAATTTGTACACTAGGAAATCTGTTGACAACGGGACTAAGGACGTAAACACTGTCAACTGGCGTATTAGAGGAAGTCCTCCTGACCATAGAATCAGCCATTTGGAAATCGCAGATGAAATTTATGATGCTCAGTTAAGCATTTGCCCACCATCGCATCTAGAAACATAAATTAATAACCACGCAGTAAATAATCTGGTTGCGTAAATAAGCTTGTATCTTCTCTATTGCAGCGAAATCTTATACGACGGTGTCAACGAGAACGGTTGCTGCCAAAAACCTTCTCTACCGTTCAGACATCGGGTTCCGCACAGGGATCCGCGTGGACGAGCCTGTCACTATCACCCTGACCATGAACATGCCCTTGGGCACGCTGAACGACCTCAGCATCAGAGCAGGTAGATTCGCCACGTCGTAACCACTCTCCACGATACCCGGGTGGCCATAGGTCTCATAGTTCTATCATGAACACGCGCTTGGCACCGCGTAAATTGCCTCAGCATCAAACCAAATTGAAGTCGTCTTTTATTACCATGACGAAGACACTTGCGACAACATCAAGTTCAATGTCACTCATATCGTGGACGACCTCACCTAAACCATCAACGTAAATAACATCGTTAATGTTTCAGACACTATTGCTATCACCCTGTGCAACCAAACACGGTTGACCTATCTGATCGCATTCATCAATGTCATCAATAAGATTAACTACGCTGATACTGTCGATCGTCGTTGACATATATTTGATCGAGTAATAATCGATTTTAAATTTTGGGCGAGGGGCGGTTACTGCAAACATCAACGTCAGAGCAGCGCCAATGATATTATAAATACACCACTATTGCTATTGACATTATCAACACAACAAATCGTAATGACGCCATCAATGGCACCAAACCGTACTTACGTTTATCATATTGATTATTTATTACACACACTCGATATTATCAACATTGCAAACTGTATCCCAATAAATGTTATGCGTGCCGCCACTCTCCTTGATCGTGCTTTTTTTTAAATTTGAAATCCAAATGCTAACTTTGGGCGCATCGCGTTATTGTTCTGACTGCAGAGTTTAAGTCTAGCGACTTTGATGAGATACCGATCGTCATGATCAACAGCGAGGTGCAGTCGTCTGCCAGCATTCACTTTGGCCCCGATGCTGCTAACTCGACTGGCTTCTCTGTCCGCGCAATGCCAAAGCCGTCCAGTTTGTCACGGCGGGATGTTACAGAGAGCGTGGCCAACCATGGATGCCCGCGGTGTGATAACTCGGTGAAGCAGGTGAGTACTAATCTCACCGAACCTTAACATCCACATCACCCGATGTATTCAGTGAACAGCTCGGCAATAACAATTCAATTCAATTTACTTTATTTCTACTTGTGAATTACATTTTTGAGGTAACATATTAGTTAAACAAGTTAATAGACAATGGTGATAAAATTAAAACAAATCAAACTAAATAAATAGAAGTGATGGGAGGCGCTGTCGTGTCAAACGTCTTGTCGAACATATGCTGTTTCCAAATCGCACATGTATATCCTTTATTTATGGGGAATACAGGAGGCGACGGAGCATCGCATCAAGAAGAGGCAGATCCAGTCTAGTCTATATATTGTCCGCTGGATCGGAGACGTTCTCAATCCGTCACTAGGTGGCACCAGTTATGACGCATTTAATATCACAGTGAGTATGCGAAATGCGTCAAGCTATCTATTGCACCTTGGCTTAACATCAACACAAATTATTTGGCATGCGTTTAGCATAGAAATTATTTACTATATAATACATCCTCAAATCTTCAAAGCGAGCAATCATACGACTAAATGAACACGCAACCAACACGTGTAGGCCTAAATACAAATTGAATTGGTCAGTCAATACTAGCCTTCGATTAGGAGAAAATATAATGAATGAGTGAAATAGTGAAATAGTGAATATGGTGAACCCACACGCGATATAGAATCAACTATGTGTACTGGTGTAACACAAATGTTACGGGTTGTAGTTGCAGTTCATAGTTCCAGCCTCGGATGCTGTCCGGCACGGTCAGCTACTCAGCTTCATGCCCACCATGGTGTTTAGCGGACGACCGTTCGACTTTGGCCGCCATACTTTCATGATAGTCGAGCCGCGGTTGGAAATCATTAAAACAATGCAGGTTAGTATAGTGGATCGAAGTCAGTTAGTAGTTCGTGTAAACGGCGTATGGACGCGATGACGACGATGCAGCCGGCGGCGGTAACGATGACAACGAATACAATGACGAAGGCAGCGACGTCGACAGCGATAGCGACGGCAACGGCGACGGCGGTAGTGACAACAACAACAACAACAACAACAACAACAACAACAACAACAACAACAACAACAACAACAACAACAACAACAACAGAAGCAGCAACAGCAGCAGCAACAGCAACCACAATAACGAACACAATGGCGACCGCTACCGCCGTTGCCACCGCCGCCCTCATTGTCTCATATTACATCAAGAAATATGACAACACATACTTATGATAATATTGCCAATAAAATACGTAATAAAGCTCCTAAATTGTGCGCATGCCGCATTGCGATGTTGCAGTACACCGATGATTCACTTCCCAACGAGATTTACATGAACGTATTGGTGAGTCACCAGGAGGAGTCGTCCGCCCCGGCTTTCGACATCTACGTGCAGGATAACTACAGGGGCATGCGCATCAAAAACTACACCATGTACATGCCAGATGGCAGCACTGGCAACCTAACTGTCGAAGCGGACTCGTTCGACTTCTTCGTCGACACTCTCGCAGGTAGCGCCAACTGGAGGGGGTCGGCCACCAATCTCATCCACGTTATAGCACTTCATTTCCGAACAGTTTACCGTTTACAGAACAGTTCCATTACAGGACAGTTCTATTACAGAACAGTTCCATTACAGAACAGTTACATTACAGTTACATTACAGTTACATTACATTACAGAACAGTTCCAGCACTTTATTTCCGAACAGTTCACCATCGTTTTTACCAGCGGTATAGCAACACGTGGCGGTCGGAAATAGAGGGACTTTACATGCGAGGCTTGAACGCGTCTCTTTGTCTTGTAGTTGGAAAGAGCCTGCTGCTCTCCTATTTGGCTTCTCCGCAGGAGGCATTGAACCAGGAGACGGCCGCCAATAGAAGTTACAACTTTAACGCATCCATGCTTTATCGCAGCATTCGGCCCAGCGAAGCACTCAGCCCAGAGGTAACACAGCGCCAGTTACGCAGGCTGCTAAACCAACGCATCGTAACATACGATAAATAGACAATTCACTTAGGGGCTACCGTGACCACAGCTTTTGGAGATATCATTATCATCGTGTTGATCAATATCCGATGACCACTATTCATCCACAGAACAATGAATAGCTTAACGGTGTATGCTATGTTGCTATGGATTACGCAGTGTATTTATATTATGTATATGGTCACACAGAACCCCCATTAGTACACACACGATGAATGTTGTTTTAGTAAAGTTCACAATGTCCTTTGGCTCTGTGTAGCAATATAACAACTCTCCCTTGTTACAATGGACGCATGCTAATATTTATCATATTATCTGAACCTGATGAGTGGCTGGATAATGGCAAACAACGCCATTGATAACTTATTATTATTATTGAGAACGTATCTTTGAATTTCGGGTAAACGTGGTTTCCTGCCTGTCATGCAGTTTCCGGGACGAAAGTATGGACCTGTGGAAACGACAGTATGCGTAGAGACCAGGCATGAGTCTGTCAAACAGGTACGA